TTGTGTGCATACTGCATCTAATTTAGTGGTGTTGCAGCTCCAAATTTTTAGAGCAGGTTCAATAACATAAGTGTCAACTGGCAGAATAATACTGTATAAGGCTGGTTTTCACAGTCCATTTTAATTAGGAGGCAGTAATAATTAAACTTTTTGCTGGAGTTTTCTTTTTCCAAATGTCACACATCCACAGAGCCCAAGGATGTTTGTTTTAGCCTTACAGCTTTGGAGCTATTACTGATTTTATTACTGTTTTTTCATCTGGAAACTTTAACAAATATTGCTTTGGGCTTAAGGGGTTAATTAAATCACAGTCTACATTAAAGTCACTAACTCCCCTGATCTCAGCAATGAAGTTGGTGAATACTGATGGAGATGATAAGAATAAAGGCCACAACAAAAAAACAGAGAGGAATGTTTCTAAAATAAACCTATTTTAAAGGTGTCAATACTTCAGAGGGCCCATGCAAAACATGATGCTGAACACTGACAACTTCCACAACCATCCCAAACCACAACTACCTTATACTACAATACCACCCATCCCCATTGTGCAAAAACACAGAACTGACAGTAAAATGTTAAGTTTAGGTGCCTGTTCAACATTTAACAGTCACTGAATTTTGTGTGACAGATAGATCACGTCTGCCATGTACAACCGCATTAATCACTACTATATGCAAATACTGGGAACCAGACACCAGGTCATTTTAAATATTTAAGATCCAGTGTTTAGACTGAAAACACCGCACAACAAGATGCTGAGTTGGTGTGTGCATGTTGTTTCTGGTTAGATGTTAAGGTGTAGGCGTTTCAAGTGAGGTAATCATAAATGATTTAGGAAGACTGACTGGGGTAACGGATCCATGGGTTTGAAGGTTTATTAGATGGCAAAACACTGCACAGCAGTTTAAATATACTTTGAGGCAGGATTTTAGTACTCTGGAAGGTGTTCACAGTGACAGTCATTTCAACCATGTTTTGCTGGAGCCCTCTGCACCAGCACAGTGCTATTTGGTTAAAAATGGGCTCTTTGATGTTGGGAACACAGCTACTGTATTAATCATCAGCACACGCTGCATTACTGACAGTCCTGATATAGTTGCACTAAACTTGGACTGACGTTACATTTTTGTCATTTGAGAGTATTACGGGGCAAAAATCCTAAATCTAATCTAAGAGATTAATCATTGGTTCTATATCTGTTATTGGCAATGAAAAAAAACAGTGCTGATTTTTCATTATACATCCAGTCAACTGTATCGTAGATCAGCATGGACAGCACTTTGAGCCTGTTGTTCAAATTGTGACTGCCACTGTCTGACACATAGAACATTGAAATGCATTCATTGACACACCGACAGCATTAGTACAGCACAGAGAGTGAAAGGTCCTGAGAGTAGAAAAAGGAGATCACTTGAAGGCTGACTGCAGTTCTTTGAAAGCAGCTCGTCTCTGTTTCTGCTCCTCGGCCTGCTTCTTTTTGGCCTCCTGCTCCTGGCGGATCTCTGCCTCAAACCGAGTGGACTCGTTGATGGCCTGGACCTATAACACAGGGGAGCAAAGTGGTGAGGATCCAAAAAGGTGACATTTTTCCAACCCAAAAACAAAGAAATCTAGCATAGTTAAGACAAGGCAAGTTATTCAGAGAACAAGTTATTAAAATAAGAGTTCTACACTGACATTTACTTTTCAAAGCACCGGGGTCCCTAAATAAAAACAAGAAAAAAAAAAGAAAAAAAATTTGGCAAATCCCCCTTGAGCAGCACTTGGTGACAGTAGGGAGGAAAAACTCCCTTTAAAGTAAGAAACCTCCGACAGACCCTTGGTGGGTGGCCTTCTGCCTCAACCGGTTGGGGTAAGTGGATAGAGGAGAGAGGAAAAAAAGAAAAGCAACAAGACACAAAAAACAATCAAACACTGGTCAGGTTGATGTGGCCGGTGACTGCTCATCAGAGACGTAGAGCTCCAGAGTCAGGGCAACCTGCAGAAAGGTACAAGGAGAGAGAGAGAGGACACACTACGGGAGAGACGAGACACAAAGTTAGTGATGTGTAATGGTGGCATACAGATGGATGGAGAGGTGAGGAGAGAATCTCAGAACATCATGGGCCTCCCAGCAGTCTAGGCCTATAGCAGCATAACTAAGGGAAGGCTCAGGGTCACCTGATCCAGCCCCAACTATAAGCTTTATCAAAAAGGAACGTCTTAAGTCTAATCTTAAAGGTAGAGAGGGTGTCCGCCTCCCGAACTGAGACTGGGAGTTGGTTCCATAGGAGAGGAGCTTGATAGCTAAAGGCTCTGCCTCCCATTCTGCTTCTGTGGACTCTAGGAACCACAAGTAAACCTGAGAGCAAAGTGCTTTGTTGTGATGAAGCTCTATGAGGTCTTTAAGATACGATGGAGCCTTGTCATTAAGGGCTTTGTATGTTAGGAGAAGGATTTTAAATTCTATTCTGAATTTTACAGGGAGCCAGTGGAGAGAAACTAATATGAGAGAGATATGATCTCTCTTGCTAGTTCCTGTCAGTACTCTGGCTGCAGAATATTGCGCAGGTGAAAGAATAATGTAAATTCAAAAGTTATTAGAAAATGGTCAGACAGAAGAGGATTTAGGGGAAAAACTGTTGTGTTCAGTTTTGATGCCATTTGTCAGAACAAGATCAAGAGTGTGATTAAAACAGTGAGTGTGTTTATTTACAGTTTGAGAAAAGCCAACAGAATGCATTGTTGAAGCTGTCATTGTCACCATCTACATGAATATTAAAGTTGCCCACTATGATTATTTTATCTGTCACTTAATCAGACAGAAAGTCTGAGAATTCAGTTAAAAACTCTGAATAAGGAGCAGGTGGATGATAAACAATAACAAATAGAACTGGCTTTGAGTTTTCCAGTTTGGGTGTGAGAGACTCAGAGTGAGGCTTTAATGATTAGGTCTAGGGTTGAGTAATAGGCTGGAGTCAATGACTGCTGCCACATCTTCACCTCAGCCTGTGTTTCTGTTTGGTATGAGCATTTCAGGTACAAACTCTTGATAGTACATCAGTGGTTAATACTTTGCAACACTGTTTAAAGGACAAATCCAACTCTACCACTACTAAACATGCAGTCATGGCCAAAAATATTGGCACCCCTGCATTTCTGCCAGATAACACACCACTTCTAGAAAATTGTTCCAATCAAAAATTCTTTGGTATTCTCATGATTATTTCTTTTGTTTGCATTGGAACAACACAAAAAAAAAAAACAGAAAAAAGCCAAATATGATTCATTCCACACAGAACTCCAAAAATGGACTGGGCAGAATTATTGACACCCTCAACTTAACATTTGGTAGCACACCCTCTGTACAAAATAATTAAAACCACTAACTTCCTGTAGCCATCACTGAGTTTCTTCCTCCTCTCTATTGGAATTCTGGACCACTCTTCTTTTGCCAGCTGCTCCAGGTCTCTCAGATTTGAAGCGTTTGTTCTCCCAGCTGCTGTTTTGAGATTTCTCCACAGGTTCTCTATAGGATTTAGATCTGGAATCATTGCTGGCCACTTCAGAACTCTCCAGCTCATTGTCCGAAACCATTTCTAGTGTTTTTTTAAGTCTGCTGTAAGACCCATAACCTCTGACAGAGACCCGGCTTTCTGACACTGGGCCCTAGATTGTGCTCAGAATTCGTTGGTAGTCTTCAGATTTCATAATTCCATACACAGTCAAGACCATCCAGTGTCTGAAGCAGCAAAGCAGCCCCAAACGTCAGTGAACCTCCACCGTGTTTGACTGTAGGGACCATGTTCCTTTCTTTGAAGACCTCATTTCATTTTCTGAAAACTGTAGAATGATGTGCTCAACCAAAAAGTTATATTTTAATTTCATCTGTCCACAGAACATTCTCCCAGAAGGATTGTGACTTACGTTTGGGCCAACTCCAATCTGGCTTTTTTACATTTCTGTGCCAGCAGTGGGGCCCTACTATAGCAGCCCTTGTCATTCAGATGGCGACAGATAGTGTGCGCTGACACTGTTGCGCCCTGTGCCTACAGGTCATCTTGAATTTGTTGGAACATTGATTGAGATTCAAACAATCCTTCATTGCAATCTGTCATCTATCTTTGTCTTTCATCCATGTCCAGAGAGATTAGCTGCAGGACCATGGGCTTTAAACTTCTTGACAGCAAGACCTCTGGAGACTGGTGTGTTAAGCCATATTGTTGTTACTGGTTGGGGGCTGTTAGAGAGTTTTTAATTGGATGTGAATATGCAAGAAGTAAAGAAGTAGTGATAGTCACTGATGAAAAGATCTGATCCAACAAGGCTGGAGGGAATATTCTTTTGAAATGAAAACTGTAATATTCTTTGTAGTTTATCAGTGTGATCAGGTCCTGGTCATCTCCCAGCTATGGACAGTTCTCTTAAACCTGGTTTGTTTTTGTTAATGGTACTACACATCATGTACATTTTGTTAAAAGATGTCAAGCCATTCTTGAAAGACTTTACACAGTCATTTTAGAGAGACTTGTTTGGGAGAACAAAAATTGGTCTGTTTTGCCTCTGAACACTAAATTGACAAATGTGTCTGCAGTTTCAGTTCATAATGATGCTGCCTTATACATTCTGAATTTACCTGTGGTTTATCTTTTGTAGAAGCTTTAATTCCTGAGGTTTACAGCTGATCTCAGTAGAACTTTAGATGCAATAGTATTGCAAATTTCAGGATAACATCTTGGTTCATGAGACTGCATTCTTACATAAGTCAGAGTTTAAATATATTTTGTTTGGCACTAATAATTAAGAAAAATGTTTAATTAAATTAAGCTTAATTTAATATTAAGGAATTAAACAATTTAATTAACCTGAATGTACAGTAACAAATTGGATAATGGCGAACGCTTACATAATTATATAATTTTAAAATTACATAAGCATAATAAAATTTAAGCCAAATAAAATTACAAAAGCATATTTAACTTGGGCTTAGTTGGAATTACTAAGAAGATTTGTGCAAAATATACTCAACATAATTTTGCTAAAGTTGTAAATGTAATTCATTTGAAGCTACTTACAAATAATAAGTACAATCAACTTAAAAAATATCTCTGGATTTAGATAAATTGGTTACTTGCAACCACTTGAACAAAACATTTTTTCAGTGTACTGAACTGTAAGATGTTAGTTATTAGTACAACAGACTAAGCTTCTAAATAAACTTATGAAGAGGTAAGAACTGCAAAATATAAGCAGCATACAGTATATTGTATAATTGCACACATACATGTATATTATTCCTAGTACTGGGTTGGTGTAAAGGGATCAACATGGTCAGCAACAATACTCAGGTAGGCTGTGGTAGTTAAACAATGCTCAGTTGCTACCAAAGGGCACAAAGTGTGCCAAGAAAATATCACCCACACTATTACACAACCACCACCAGCCTGAACCTTTAATGCAAGGATGATCCATGCATTCATGTTTAGCCAAACTCTGACCCTACCATCCGAATGTCACAGCAGAAACCAAGACTCCTCAGACCAGGCAATGTTTTTCCAATCTTCTATCATCCAAGTTTGGTGCACCCTTGTGAACTGTGGTCTCACTTTTCTGTTCTTAGCTGACCGGAGTGGCACCTAGTATGGTCTTCTGCTGTTGCAGCCTATCTGCTTCAAGGTTCAATGTGCATTTAGAGATGCTCTTCTGTATACCTCAGCTGTAACGAGTGGTTATTTGAGTTACTGTTGCCTTTCTATCAGCTCAAGTCAGTCTGGCCATTCTCCTCTGACCTCGAGCATCAACAAGGCATTTTTGCCCAGAGAACTGTTGCTCACTGGATATTTTCTCTTGTTCAGACCATTCACTGTCAACCCTAGAGATGGTTGTGCATGAAAATCCCAGTAGATCACCAGTTTCTGAAACACTCAGACCAGCCCGTCTGGCACCAATATCCATGCCACGTTCAAAGTCACTTATATCACTTTTCTTCATTCCGATGCTTGGTTTGAACTTCAGCACTTTGCCTTGACTATGTCTACATGCCTAAAAGCACCGAGTTGCTGCCATGTGATTGGCTGATTAGATATTTGGGTTAACAAGCAGTTGAACAGATGTACCTCATAAAGTGGCTAGTGAGAGTAGTTTTAAGATTTGTTTATACAAGAAACTTTTCACATGCATTTTTTAGTCATCCATATTATATGCATTTCATAGAACAGATCTTCTATTTTAACCAATAAACCAGTCTACACAGTCTGTATGATGGTTCTCATTGTACTGTGCAAAACTGCAATCCACAGCATTTTTGTAGTCTGTTTACCCATCGCGATTATTTGCATGCATGCATCTCTCCTCTGCTAAAGCACTTATGTCTGTCTACTGACTGCAATGAAACATTGTCTCTGTTGTACAGGAAGCTTGGAGTCAACTCACTTTGGCTTCAAAGAAGGTCTTGGCTCCTTTGACCCCCTCTGTGGAGACATCGATTTCAGAGAGGCGAGCAAGAACACTAAGGCCGCTGTCCTCTGCCAGCTCTCCTGCTGCTGCCTTCCTGAAGATCAGCAGGCACT